TGGAAGGGTTTTTGATCTTTTATTAAACATTATCACACCAATGTTCATTTTTAAAGTGCAGCATTTCACACATGTCGGAATGAGCTCAGACAGCCCAACTGCCAAATGTTTAAATACTACATTCATCTCTATCAACCTGCAAACTCAACCCTTTGAGAGGGAGATTTCATCTGATCCAGGAAAATGATAAATCTGAAGTGCTATATTATCATTTCCTGCATATGAATACTTAGAATACCAAAGCTTTAATAGGCATTATAAACAAAGAAGCACAAAAAAAAACATAATAAAATTCTCTCTCTGTTCAAGGCAACGAATGCAACAATGCAAAAAAAAAAAAATCAATTAAATAATGTAATTTCTTTCATTCTTCATTTTAACATGAAACCTGCACATATTTCAGCTGTTGAGCCTTTACGGATCTCCATCACACCTTTGATTTGTCTATTTGGAACTTTTTACTAGAAAGACACAGATTTGTGACTTCTGTAATTTTCCTCTCATTCTAAATTTAAGTTTGGCTATCACAGCGAACACCTTTGATGCCTCCTGAAATTGCAGTCATTACCACGGATCGCAAGAAATCATACGTAATGGTTGAAAGGAAGTAGGAAGGAGCAGAGGGAGGAAGAAGAGAAGAAAAGCTCAAAATAAGATGGGAGATTAACTTTTAACCATTTTAATTTTATCTCCAAATCCCATCCTTGCTCTCATGCTGGCAAGGGGTAAGATAAGCTACGGACATCCTGAAGCATGACACCAATCTGTTGAGGGAAAATACTTTTATCCTTGAGTCCTGATCAAGCTGGAACATGCTCACTTATTACTTTCATATTATGGGAAGGACATGGAGTGGTAATCTACAAGGATTCAAAAATCTCATCCTTAACCTCTCAAATTTCATTAATTTTCACCAAATTTCTTTATTCTGTAATCTTGTTCATCACACAGACACACACACACTTAGCTGGATTACTGTATTTGTTTTGTCTTTTTATTGCATCAATAATAATCTCCCATTATCTTCCGTATAGTATGTTTACTTGTCATATTGCATAGTCTTACTTCACAAAATGCACATGCAAATATTGAATTAGCTTAACTCATGAACTGATGAACTAGCAAATAATAATAATAAAAAAGGAGAGGTGCATTTTAAAAGCTTTTCTTTGTTTTGGTTTTGCAAATTTTCATCTAGCAATATAAGACTAAAAGCATAAGCTTAAAAAACAATCAAACCAAATTACATACTAAAATGCAAAATTCTTCATCAAATCTATTTTCCTACGTCATAGTGCAGATGGACATTAAAATAAATGCTACAGGAAAAAATTATAATCAAATAGATGATATCATTTTGGCATTAATTTCCTGTAAATTATTTTTGAGAAACTGTTTTATTTATTTATTACTGGAAAATGTCCCCTTCATTTTCTTTTCTGGAAATCACAATAAATTGACCATATAGTTGCAATAGCTATTTTTTTTAAAAAAAAAGTTGTTCAAATAAAAAATATATTATTCCCCCACAGAAAAGCCTTTCCAAAAGATATTACTTTTAAATCTTAGAATTCAGTTAGAAGTGGAAAAGACATTAAGTAACATTTCAAATGTGGAATGCATAGAACATAGAAAGAAGGATACAGCCAAAGTTATCAGTATATTTCTATATTTCACTGAAATGAATGGATTTAACTTTTAAATCCTGACTGGATCAGGCTCTCAAGAGAAATGCAGCAGAATATTAATTTGGACTATTCAAATCTTGCATTAAATTTACCACAGAATTAGGAGACTATTATCATTTCACACAGAGCTTGACTTTTATCTATCATGTCCAAAGTAATGCCAACACCAAGGTTCTTTTGATAATTTTGATAAATGGATGTCAACAATTTCAACTCCAGATTAATAATTTAGGAAAAAATATTATTTTTATCTTTGTGACAAGATAAACCAGAGTGTCATTTAAGCATTTTAGGAAGAACATTGTTTTCCCTATGGATAAATACTAAGCATGGTTTTTAACTGAACAATGGGATTATCTGTGTATTTAATTTTGTTCTATCTTACTCAAAACTAAACCTAAATTGATCAAAGGAACTGCCAACCATTTAATGGATTGTGAATGAAGATGATTGAGACATACCCCCATAAACATACACAAAAGAGTTTAAGAGCAGAACGGATATGCTGAAGCAATGAAATATATTCTAAGGGAACATTAAAAATGTTTTAGTAAGATTTCCCAAAGTGGTTAGAAAACACTATGTAACATACAATAATATTTAACTTGGGGAATCTCATTTTAGCATTCTAAAAATAAATTCACTTCTGCAGCCAATAGTTATTTGCTTTTAATTGTCATTTACAAAACTATTGCTAAATACACAATTTTTAAAAATCTCAGTTCTGTTCCATTCTTCTAACTGGGAACAGGGCATTTTTGGAAACTAAGGTTTACTTTTACCAAACTACTATATCAACAAGTTAAAGATCCGGGGGGGGGGGTAGATATATGTTTGCTGTGAGAATATATTAGGTGGGTTTTTTTGGGGGGGGAAATGCATGGATACTTATGGCTTTTAAGGAATTGAACTAATTTTCTAAATAGTTATTGCAAGCATACACCTGAGAAAGCTGTGAAGGAGGGGAAATTACAGACACACACCCTTACATACATATACATACATGACTTCTTTAAGTATTGGCATGTTTATATCATCCTTTTAAAATCTGTAACAAAGTGGTATTCTCTACTATAGCTGTTGATGTCACTATTCTTGAAGCAGGAATTTTCAGAAACCCCTTCTTTTCAGAATTTCCTTCTTTCATTTATTTATTTGCCTTCAGGTACTACTTAGAGAAATGCAGACAGACCATAAGAAGTTGATTAATTTTCTTCACATCTTTTGTTCCCCCAAACTTATCAGCTTAAAAACAGCAACTGGTGGAATGCTCACACATAGCCCCCTCATCTTTAGGATCCTGATGAAATCAATATATTTCAAAAAATAAATTTATTTTCTATACACAATTTCAAAGATAAACTTAGAATACCATTAATTCATAGAAAGCTGATATTATTTATACAAACTCTGCAGGACAAAATTACAAGTATGGTCTAAAATCCTGGGGGAACATGGGCTCAATTATCTGTGTGTAATTTTGACAGATTTAGGAAGAGAAAGGAATGTCACTAGCCAATTATTAGAACTCATTTTCCTCCTATATTATAAAATACGGTTACTGGTATTTGTGATCCTTGAAGAATTCCTTTAAAAAATACTTTTTGTGTATTTAAGTAAATGGAGCAAAAAATAAAATAAAAGGAGGCATACACAATGCTGTCTTATTATTGTCTTATTTATCTCTTTTCTTTATTTTTTCTTGGAAAACTTGCGGGGGGAAAGTTTATAATCAGTGAAGATATTGTATTCATTGTAGATGCAACCATGTTAAAGCAGATTAGCTGTTTTCTAAATTTCCACCAGAGATATCCAGGCATGCATACTGTGGATTGTGACACAAGTAGAAATCAAACATTAACTTGTGCAGACAATTTTTTTTAGGCCTCTAACAATCCAACTACTTAATTCCCCAAAGATGGAAGAAACATTTCCATCTTCTTTTCTGCAAAAACAAAAGAAAAACCCACCCGAATAAAGTAAATCAACCCCGAAGTGACTGATGTGACTGGAGCTTATCAAAGGCTCCTGTAGTGATGACAACTGCAGACAAGGTGGCATGTGTTGTTCTGATTAAGAGAGTTTGAACCAAGCACTCTTGCAACAGAACTCAGTGTCACCAAGTGAGGTCCTGCCTTATTTTGTACTTGTGATCCTTATTTGAATTACAACTATTTCGTCACTTTCTTAAAACAGTAACTGGAGACACACGGCATTATCAACCCACTGGCACCGTCTCACGTCTCTAAGAGAAAAAAAGGTCAGCCTGGGTGACGTGTTAAATCTCGGAAACCTGTCTTTCACTATTCCGAGCATCTCTTCTTTTGTTTTCGCAATTCTGGATTAGGAAAATTACTCCAGGTTCATTGAAAGAATCTTGGTCTCTTTAAAAGAACGGGAAGAGTCTTTAAGGCTGCTTAACTTTGAATGCCACAAACACAAGCGTCACTACTATCCCTACTACTAGCAGAAACATATTATTCCTCTCCCCAATCCAGCCTCCTCTTTTCTAGAATTACAATGTTTTTTCTGCTTTAAAAGGTGCACCTGAAGGATGGGATAGGGCCACCTTCTGCACACCCCTGCCTTTGATTTTACCTGTTTCTCCTTGGAACAAAAATGCTCATGTGGAGCTGCAGCTGCAGCAAAACGAGAGGCTTTCCACCTCCACCAATGTGGTTTATTTGGTTTTTGAAGGGGAGATGAGATCTGAGAAATATCCAGATGTCTTCCCACCAAATGCTTCACCTCTTCCCTTTCTCCATTATAAACAGATTTTGCCTCTGCTAGGGTCAGAGGAGGTGAAGGAGAAGGAGGAGGAGGAGAAGGAAAAGGAGAAGGAGAAGACTCTACAAGCACGAAGAAGCTAGAAGAAGAAGAAGAAGAAGAAGAAGAAGAAGAAGAAGAAGAAGAAGAAGAAGAAGAAGAAGAAGAAGAAGAAGAAGAATAGGAGGAGGAGGAGGAGAAGGAGGAGATTCTTTAGACTTTACTGATACACATTTAGACTTTCATGATACATCTTTCCAGTCAATGGAATTATGTAGATTCCCGTTCCAGATGTTGCCTGTCTAACTATTCCTGCAAGGGGAAAAACGCATTTCGAAGCCCGCTTCTCCCTCTCTTCCTCTCTCAGTCGAGGCCACGTCCTGGGGGATCAGATGGGCGCCCTACAGCCTCGTCCTTCTCTCCAAGATGTCGACGACCTTAGTAAGCGCAACCCTCCTTGCCAAAGAAGTCAGAAGAGGGGCGCTGGGGAGAAAAGGGGGCGAGAAAGAGCTGGGATGGGGAGGAAAGCAAAGACCCCGCGCTTACCTTTCCTCTTAGAACGCCGCCGCCGCCGTCGCTTAGACTTGCCTTTCAGCTGACCGCCGGCTCCTCCAGAGGTTCGGCTGCTCTCCAGCACCGAGGTCATGGTTCCCGCCCGGTAAACAAGAGCAGCGTGGGGGACACCGGCTGGACGGGCGGAGCGCCCCCTCCTTCTTTTGCCTCGCCGCTCCGGCTGCTTTCCAGCCACGGAGAGCCAGGCTGCTTCCGACAGCGGTGCCGGGCGCGCGTTGCTGATACGCGGATGCTCCGGACGAGCGACGCTGCCGCCGCTGCAAATCCGCAAGAGAAAAGTGAGAGCAACGGCGGTAGGGGAGGAAATATCAGGACACCCGAGGGTGCCCGCTGGGATTCCTCCACGCTGCTTTCTCTTCGGTCCGAGAGCTCTTGCCGTCGCGCGCCAGGAAACTTGCTTTCTTTGGGACGGGCAATGCCCGGCGCGTTTCTTTCTTTCTTTCTTTCTTTCTTTCTTTCTTTCTTTCTTTCTTTCTTTCTTTCTTTCTTTCTCTCTTTCTCTCTCTTTCTTTCTCTTTTTCTTTCTTTCTCTCTTTCTCTCTCTCGTCTTCCTTCTTTCCTATTTTTGCACCTTTGATAGTTGTTTGGCCCCAGAAGCCACTTTGAAGCCAATCATGCAACCAGCACCCCTATTTGCTACCCCGAAGTCTAATAAGGTCCAATCACAGCTCTAAGCTGCCCGTGACATCAGCAGCGGAGACCTCCCCCCTCCCCCGCCGAGACCCCCTCCCCTCCTGCCGCCCTCCATCCCTCCCTTGTCAGCTTGCAAACTCAGCTCCCATTTGGGCTGACAGCTCTACCCAGCACCTGAGAGCGAAAGGAGGCAGAGGGAGGCAGCGCCGCGCCGGCGGCGGGAAAAGGAAATCGAAAGGAATCTCGCCGGGGCAGGTTAATTGTTATCCCAGGGGCCGATACGATGTAATTTTTTTTTCGTGGTGGAAGGAGAGATCGGGGAAGATCAGAAAATGTACTCAGAGAACAAGCGCGATTCCGGACGTTCTTTCGGTGCTGAAGCGCTGCGACTCATCTTCCCGCGCCTCGAATGGTAGCTTTAGAAAAGATGCAGGATCCATCCAACATTTAATGGCCCGGTGATCCTTTCCGAGGACTCCCTTCCCCATCGAAAAAGTGAAATGTTGTAGGATCATTCCATCTCTCTCTCTCCTTCCTTCCTTCCTTCCTTCCTTCCTTCCTTCCTTCCTTCCTTCCTTCCTTCCTTCCTTCCTTC